AACAAGGAACTACAGTTGGTTTCGTTACTTAAACCCAAATAATAAATATATGAACGGCCTGGTTAATTGGACAATCCAGCCGATTCACCATCACAGCATGGTGAAGCCCTTGATCTGGTCTCCAGAGAGTGTGATTCACTTGGTTTCCTTCTTTCAACTGCGAAACAAAGGCATGTGGCACGGTCGTGTTGTACCCACCCTTCTTATGAGGAACGCCCTTGACTGGGTTAATGAGCAAAAATACCTGGGTGGTAACTCGCACACGTTGTCAGATCCCTGAAGTCCGCTACTTCGAGACATATGTTTCGGAGTCTCACCATGTATTCCCTGTGCCACCAACACCCTTGCATTTCACCATGTACAAGTCCTTGTCCATTCCTGTGTTGACTACGCACCCCTGCCCTCGTCAACATTAGTCGGACTGCTGTCAACCGTCCCGAAGTTATCCAGAGGATAGCCATCATCCTTGGGCCCTAGTTGACAGGCTCTACTTCTCTCATATACCAAACTTTGTCTTTTCCCCTACAGGATCCTGTGAGTTTTACCTAAGAACTGCCATTTCCATTCTACGGGATCCTCGGGCACCATGTCAGCCAACTTGACTCCTGCTGTCCGAGGCCGACCTCCATCTAGAAGACATTAAGAGGGTCACTCATCTGAGCCCTTCAGGAACACGACCTGCCTGATATTGTTGTCACCCCTGCTGTTGGTTCGCTCTTCTCCTGGCTGCATTTTTCAACCTGAAGTGATTGCCCTTGGACCGCCCCGAAATCCCACGTGAACCCTGTTATTCTCTGCAAATACCACTTCCAGGATCGCCCACTGGTCCCCAGGTATGGTCGTCCTCTACACTGATGGTTCTGTTGACCCTGCTACAGGTCGGGCCGGGCTGGTGTCTACATCTCCGCCCTGATGCCCCTGCGCCTATCAACTGTTTCTCAGAGTTTTGACTGGGCATCCTCCACACAGGTTGAACTAATAGCCCTTTTGCTGCCCTTCTCGCTGAGGAAGAAGAAGCAGATGGTTTCTGCCCTTGCTTGACTGCTGCGATTCCAGGTCTGCTCGACGGATCTCATTTGGATCAGGGAAAATAAGGACCTCATCCTCCGAATACGAGGGTTAACATCCATACTTCAGGATGCACTGTCCCACATTCCTATGGATACCTAGTCATGTCGGTATCTTGGGGAATGAGGCAGCAGATGGCTTTGCCAAGACTGGCTGCAACAAGACCACACCTGACTACGTTGTCCTCGAACACTTTACAGCTTAGGACCCCACCCGCCCTCAAACAGAGAGAAGCTCAGGAAGCAACCATCCCTGGACTCCCCGCCCACCTGG